GGAGCTGCAGACGGAACAGCTTATAACCCTCAAAGTCAAATGAATTTGAGTTCACTCAAAAATCAAATAACAGATGTCAAAAAGTCAAACATAGACATACAGAAACAAATAAGTGAAAACGAAAAGAAACTAGAATATGACAGACACACAAGAAACTCAATGAGTTAAACGTAGAGAAAAAGAAGAAAGAAGAACAACTGAAAGAACTAAGTACAGAGGATATGCAAAAAAAGTGTCAAGAAAAGCAGCAGAAGTAGCAAAAATGGAAAAGATGTTATAAATTTGAAAACCATACTACTCAATATAAAGTACTGAAAGATGAAGAAATAAAACAAAAAGCCCTGAAGACATATATGGATAGCGATGAGTATAAAAAAGAAGTTGAAGCAAATGTAAAGGCAGAAAAACTTTTACAGTTGCAAAACCAACCGTACAGTATGAAAACTTAGCACAAGAAGATAAAAAATAACGACGCGCAGCCACAAAAGGCAATGAAAAGCGCAGAATATATAAAAGCTAATAATGACTGGTTAGATGCCCAACCAACGCCAAAGCAGCCCAACTTATAGGGTCAATAAGGACAAAAATACAAGCGGATGAAGACAGTTCAAATGAAGCTTTAATGAATGCTGACTTTAAGAACGCCTTCGAAGCTCTTCATAGTAAGGTGAAACTAGTGAACGACTTCTCATCTGGAAAGAAACTGAAGTCTGAAGGTTTCGACAAAGAGTTAAGAGAAGTAGCACAAAATATGACGAAAATAACAGATGCAGCAACGAGACAGGCAGTTCAAAGTGCTATGACGCCGTTAGAGCAACTGTTGTGGAAAGTCAAGAAAAAGAGTTACAACAGACCAAAACAGACCTAGTAAATGCTTTCTTAAAAACGAAAAGTCAGGTAGGACATTATGCTGCAGATGGAACATATGTGCCAGCTGGTGGAACTTATATACCACCAAACCCTCCAAGAGAAGCACCTGCACCAGGACTACCTAAAACATTTACATCGTCACATGGACACAGACACAGGCATGCACCAAAACCAACACAACAACCAACAGTTCAAAATCCAGCACCACAACCAACAGTTCAAAACACTGCACAGCAACCAACAGTTCAAAACCCTGCACAACAACCAACCACAAACAGAGCAAGGACATAAAAGAAGTAGAGAACAAGGAAACCAAGAATTCTTAAAAATGCTTAAGGAAGACTATGGTTACCCAGATACTCTTGACTTTAGTGACAGATATAAAGAAGCTATTAGAAAGTTAAGGAAGGAAATACTGACCCGAACCTATTTAGCTTTATGGTTTCAGCACCAAATGGGATATAATTTCAAACTGGAAAATAACAAGCTCGCTAAGGATATGATTTAATAGCATATCATCAAATGACATGGATGAATTTACTCCGAGATATTTGGTGTCAGAGCTAAATGATAATTCAACTCTCTTCATGAAACGCGTAAAAAATAGAGACGGAACGAAAGAAGAAAGGTTTATGAGTCCGGATGACTTAGATAGGGAACTTTTTAAAAACGGTCTCGGAATATATGAAATGCCACCAAGATGAGGTACAAGAAACTCAACAGGAAGAGTTCAAATACAACCAGACATGGAAGAAATAGTTCAGCAACAAAGCTAGAAGAGCCTGAAGGAAACAAACAAGTCCCTCCTTTGGAAACTAACTTCACAGAACTAGATGAAGATTTGGAACAGCCGAAAAATCTTGACCCTCAACAAGTGTATGCGGGGAATATGGAATCTTTCCAAGAGTCTAAGAAAAATTCGGCTGACATAGTAGAAGAATATCGAAAAATGTTCACCGACATACAAAAGACTCCAACATCAGATGAAAAATATTCAGCATAGAATGGAAGTACTGAAAGAAAATGTACGCAAATACAACAATCCTTTTTACTTACGACCATATAACGTTCAATCTTTGGCTGAACTCGGTGAAATAAAAGGTTAAATTTCAACAAAACATATAGAAATGAAACATTGTTTAAAGTTCATTCAGAACTCTAACCAATATGGAAACAAACCTACTTTTGTTTCTGCAGACTATGGAACTCAATGAGATGGGTTCATAAAGCTAATCCGGATAGGTGGTTCATAAACTTACAAACCACAATTCCAAGAAGTTGTAGACGCAATGGAAGTGAATGGTGAACCAGATATAGCTGTATTTTCAGCGCGCTTTAATGCATTGAAAGATATGAAAGATGCAAGATATTTTGAACCAGTATGAAATGAACATGGCTGATGGAAATATAACACCTGACGTTCTAGACATTTATCTCAAAGAACTACACAGAACCATAGAGATGGTATATTTGGTGAAGAGTTTAGAAGAAAGTTAGGGGAGACAGAAGGAAGAGAACCTATTGTAATGACCTTGCAAACGAAAGTTTACAAAATGTCATAAAAACTTTACTTTGCAGACAATGAACCGAGAAGGGATGAATATTTAAGAAAACTCAAATGGACAGTACCAAATGAATTTAGTATTGAAAAACATGTTCCTTGACAAAATAAAACCAACTACAGAAAATTTGACGCAAGACTGAAACATTGGGGTAAAAGCTTTCCCATTCACAAAGATATTATTGGTAACATGGAAGAAAACCAGAATGGCTACAAAAACATATATTTGGAAACGAGCTTATTCCATATGGACAAGCCTCTGTTTGAAGAGCTTGAACCGGAACTCAGGAAAGAGTCCATGCAAACAATACGCGAAGACTCAAATACAACTATGACAAATCTTTCTAGGATATAGGTTACCTGAGATGGGCGACCAGAGCCCAAAGGCAAAAAGACATGGGAAATTTACAACATACTAGGTGAACATGAGGCAAAGATGCAACAACTTGAAGCAGAGGCGAAGTTACCAAAAAGCGACACCAAAGAAAAGAGTAGAACAAAGTGAAAGTAGTGAAAAGTAACTTCATCTAGTGAAAGTATGTGGCAATGAAGGAAAAAGAAGAGTTAAAAACTCAGTCAGGAAGAAAGTAAAGTTGGTAGAGTGGGTTCTATTATGACACATAAATCCAACTATTCTATATTTTTACCCATATGAAATGTAACGCCGCTCAGAATATAACGCCACGTTTTGATGCCATGAACGGAAATGTTCCGAATGGTAAACGATGCGACAATGCCATTAGAAGGTCGAAATATGTTCCTGGAACTTACGAAATATACAACTGCTGTTTCTTATGGAAACGTAGGTGAGTTTGGAGAAGTTCTTCAAACAAAGTAGTATTATGCTTGCGACAGGTTTCATATTTATTTCTATTGACAACTCATTCTTATACGTGGAACAAGACATTGAAATAAAACTTCTGCCAAGTTTTCTGACAAGAAAGGTTGCAATGGAATTTTTCTATGTCGATACCAATATGCTCCAGAAGTTTTCATGGGATATAAGATATATTCTAACTCTGACTTAGTTTCAAACAGTAACATGGGCAAACTATGAATGTTCGCTTTGAGAAACTCAGTACAACAACAAGCTAAGAGACAAACAACCAGTATGCAATATTGAGAAAATAAGAAGACTTGACCCTAACGTCCAGGAGTTTATGTTAACCTTTCTGGACAACACTGCAGCAGCAGTAACCAAAGTAAAACTGAAACTTAGAGTTCCTTTTGCATCTCCTCATCTTCAGGTTTTTAAGATTACTTGCCAAACTGGGCAGAAAAATTTCTATCGAACTTACTCCAAGCAAAAATAACTTAGATCATTGCCCACACACAAGACCCATTCACTATTACAGACGTAAAGGAACAAATCAAACGTCATTCGCCGAATTTTGCAAAACAAAGTTGACTTAGACTTTGTTTCTCAAACTTCAACAATGAAGTAAACTATTATTTCATCTGCTGAACTGCTTGGGACCCATTAAGTTCACATGCGAAAAGTTTGAATGCAAGAGAATAGAAAGCAGACTTGCAGTCTATATGTTGGACCCGATATTTTCAAATGCTTTAGCTGCCAAATATATTGCAGTTCCACTTATGTTCCTATACAACCAAATATCTGTCAAAGGACTTTGCAGGTGAAGTTGGAAACCAAAGTGCTGACCCAGGTGCAAGATCAGATATTGCTTTAACAACTGCAATGAAACATGCAGATACTCATGTTTGTACTGTTCAGACGAAACTAAATGACTATTCTTGTTTCTACCCCCGGTATTAAATTCATATAAACATAGATGGCAAATATTATCCAAGAGAAGATATTCTACAGTTGATATATGAGGTCATACAACTTGACATTAGATGCTATGAACTTTAACAACAATTTCTAACAACAACCATTACCCTCGTGTATAATTCTGTACAACTCATATCTCTATCAATACTTTATTTATAATCAAAACAAAGGTTAAAATTGTATACCCTGTCACTGTAGAGTATTCTCCCAACTTTAAAGTGAAAATCAAAATTTGATATTTTAGTAATTTCATGTGAGCTCGTTATTTTATAGGAAAACATACTGAAAATGTTTATAAGATGTTTCTCTATCATATGCCAAAATATCATGGTTTAAATACTCTCCTAAGTGTCTATAACTGAATTTTAGGGCAATAACCTTATTCTAAATGTTGGGAAAGTAGAATTGTGATCGGGGCATATGTCGTGCCATTTGAGAAAAATGTAAGAATGTTGTATGTTCTTGGTATAATTAAAGAACAAAAAGAAATTAATTATTCATTTATCAGTCGGTTTAGCATTTTAATGTAGTGACTTATAAAGACAAAGGAATAAATGGCTGAAACTTTCTTGTTGATTCTAGATATTATTCACAAAATAGAAAAATCGTGTCAATCTTAATTCAGCCAATAATACCTAGGATCAATAATGATTTTGGAAATGTAATGCTCTGCATATCGAACCAAAGCCATAATTATGTTGTTAATTAATAATTTAAAATTAAAAAAGAATTAAATACTAGAATTTTGAAAAATAGCAAACATTTATTATCTATTTATAAATCATCTATATAATCACTTGCTTCTTGAACAGGTAATTCAGCATTTTCTTGCTGTTGCTGGTTTGGTTGAGTTTCTTCGGCAGGTTCTGGTTCCTTAACTTCAGGTGTTTCTGATTTGGGCTGTTCTTCTACTGGTTCTGGCTCTGGTGGCTTATTCTCAACTGGGGCGAATGTAACTGTCTGAAGAGGTGCAAGTTCTGCTTGGATCTTTGTTAAATCAAATAAAACATTAGCTGATGGGACTATTGAGTTAGGAGGTTGTGTGGCTAACCTAGATAAAATTTTTGTAGCCTTTTGGAGCTGATAAACCCATTCTTCGTCTTTTGTTCTTGGAATATTTTTGTATTTACGCGCAAACCATATTTCTTGCTCTTGTGCAATGAAATGGATAACACTTCCTTCGTTGTTGTAAGTTTTTGCATTTTTCCATACCAAATTTACATCATCAGCCCATTGTTCAATCGACTTATATTCATTTGAGTTTAATTTTCGCTTAATTGTTGTTAAATCAATTGGATGTTTGATAATTTTGTAATAATCAGGCGCTCCATCACGTTCTGGGTCGACTTTGTCCTTAAAAACATGACAAAGGTCCTTATGGATCATTTTGTTCGTTAGATGTAGACATTGACGCTTTTCAAAATCATTCATTCTTGTTCGTGTCACTTTTTATTTACCCCATTTTTAATTTTTTGAACCCTTTAATCTTATAAAAAAAATTATTTTTTTCTAAAAAAAATGTTGCCTCAGCAATCAAGGTTACAATTAGTTGGATTTGATGATGGACGTGCTAACAAAGGTGGATTTAGAGTTGCTTCCCATAGCAGCATGCGTAATAATATTAAACCCCATCATATTTTTGGAAATTGGAATAGATACTTCAAACTTCCTTATATTTGCTTTTTAGAAGTTAGCTTGTTTTGCAGTTACTTCCTTTTCACTCTGTTTCATCAAAAAGGTGCTGTTGCATTTACTCTTGATTTTTCAAAATCTCTTTCATCATTCTTTTTAAAAGATATTCGAATTCACAACCCGCCAGCAGGAATTACAGTTGGTGTTGGCCAAATTTATTATCACAAAGACTTATCTGCTGTTATAAATACAAGTTTACAGAGATTTTTCGAATTTCCTGTATCATTTCCATGTGCATATCCAATTATTGTTAATGACAATGGCAATGTCAAGATAGAACTTAAAAATGGTACTGAAATCGACTTAGAATTTAATGAAAACAACATTGAACAAACATCAAACATAATTAAGCGTTATTTTCAATACTTTAATAAGATTACAGAGTCTTGTATCTATCACGTACAAGTTGCTCATCAAGTTCAAGATACAAGAATGAATCTTGAAGTTTTTGTTGAATTCACACATGATTACGACACAGATACGATATTTATGGACTTATCACATACCAGATTTCAAGAAAAATTCGATCTTACGTCACAAAATTCAATTCTTTCAACATTTGATTTTTCAATTCCAATTTTCATCGGAATTCTCAACATTTGTGCACTAATTATCATGGGAAATCAAACATACAACCTTTACAGATACTGCTATGCCAAAGCAACTGATTCTGGACAGCGACCATTTGATGTTTTTTGGAAAAAGTTCGATAAATGGGATTTATTTGCTTTGTTGACTCATATTGTATCCATTGCTGCAAGTATTATGTATATTTTGGTTGGCCAAGACATAGAAGAAACTATTCCTCCAATAGTTTATTTAATGGCTGCTTCTTCTTTCTTGCATTCGATGTTGTTGGTCAGATATCTCAAATTGAAGCCATCAGCATTTCTAATTTTGATGGTTTTCTACAATTCGGCCATTAAAATCCTTCAATTCCTTGTTGGATGTTTAACTGTTTTCATTGGTTTCCTTTGCTTTACTAATTGTATTTTTGGTCATTTGAGTGAGAATTTTGCTACTGCTATGCAAGGATCAGCATTTCTCTTCTGTACAATGCATGGTGATTCATTAAAAGACTTCTATGATACAATGGTGTTGCAATATGATATTAATTACTATTTCGGATTCTTCACTGCAACATTTTGGATCTTGTTCGCACTTTCTATTTTGTATAACATCACTATTTCAATCGTTCAGGAAATGATGTCAATTGAAGAATACAAGCTCGCTCACAAAGACGACGAACAGACTATGCCTGCATTCAACATCATTTTCAATGATCTCGCACTGCTTTCTGCAAAGCATTCATTATAATATTATTTTATACCTTTTTGTTTATTAAAATATATCTGTCTATCACAAAAATCAAACTTTTTTATAATGCTTTAAAATGTTGGGAAGATGCTTTCTGTGATAGGTTATAGCTCTGGCAGAAATTGATGACTGATTTAGTTTTACCAAATAGCATTGAAAATGACCATTTTCAAGTTTTACCGGAGTAAAATGAGGAGCATTAAGCCCTAAATCCTTCGTAAATTCAAAATTGACCAAACTTTTTTTATATTTTGAAACAAGAAAATAAAATTGATTATTTTGAAGAAACAATTTGAAACAATGGATACATTTCAATCATATTGGCATCATTAAATAGTAGCTTTAAAGTTACCATGTATCTTTTCTCAGTTGAATATAATGAAAAATAATAATGGAGAAGCTCCTCTCATTTCAGCACTATAAATATCTCTTGATACAATATCAAAATATAGGATGATTTAATATCACATTTATCATATATATGACAATAAAGTCAATTTTACAATACATTTCCTGACTTTGGTTATATTATTCAAGAGTTCTTTGCAAACAATCGTTTCTCTAATTCTTTTATATATTATCATGAAAAAATGTAATGAAATCAGAATGTTAAACAGGAAATTTGAGTAATTTTGAAAATGAAAAAATTATATCAAATGTGTAAACAAAAATGTATATAAGTATAGTTTATTTCACAAACACACGAGCCGCTGACTGTGACTCGCTAGTAAACATCGATGGTTCTGTCTGATGAACTCCTTTCTTATCTTTCGTAGAAAGTTCTAAGAGCAAGTAAGGCGGGAAACTTCTTGTAAAGAAGGCGCCATCTATCACAGCGTGTTCCGGATCTGGATGGTATAATTGTTTGCAGTGACAACAGTATAATTTCACAGTACTTACTCCAGGCTTATCTGTTAATCCTATCGGAAGGAGATGATGCCCGTTGCAAGAGTACCTTGGACATATTCCAAATACTCCTTCCTTGAATTTTTGTATCATTTCGCTCATTCCTTCGTCTGTATAAATATATCTTGCGTGTATCTGACCATATAGATTTTCTGCACATTTTTCTATCTCGTCTTCGCTATCTGAATCAAAAGAATCGCTTGATTCAGAGACTTTTCCAAGTATTTGTTTAAATGCTAATTTTTCGTGAGGAGCATTAAGCCCTAATCCGTATACATTAAATCCGTCGTTGATATATGTTTCTGGAATACGGCAGAACCAATCACTGCCTGGTTGGTCAAGAAATGAGTCAATCCAACTTAAACTATCTTTATCTGAATCATCTGAGCTTTCTGTATCTGATATAACAGAGTGTTTGGCAAATTTGCCTTGATCACTATGCTGAAAACGCGGCCCCGACATTCAAGGCGACGTCTTGTCACGTTTTCAAAATTTGACGATGCAGATACGATGAAATGCTACTGTTTTAATTTTAAATGCAATAATTAGTAGTTGATGATAAGCAGATACCAAATTGATATTTACTTTTATGTTATTATTCAAAAATCTAACTTTGATATCAATGAAACAGAAAGTAATTGGTTTACTTATCCCGAGATAATGGATGAATGAGAGATATATGTATTATAAATGTAAATCCAATTAATTTTTAATTGATAACAAATAATCTTTCATCTGATCTGAGGAAACATTATGAATAGTTTCTCCATATTTATTCTTTGCTTCCATATCAGCTCCAACAGAGATAAGATATTCAACGACTTCAAAATGATCAGCTAATGCCGCAAGAAGTAGGGGAGTCCATCCATCAATATTCCTTGCTTCTATATCAGCTCCAACAGAAATAAGGTATCTAACAATTTGACGATGATCTTTATATGATGCACACATGAGCGCAGTAGTTCCATCATCCTTCCTGGCTTCTTTATCAGCTCCAATAGAGATGAGGTATTGAACAATGTCGAGATGGTCATTTTCTGATGCCCATATGAGCGGAGTATATCCATATTTATCTTGTGCTTCTTTATCACAACCATTTTCAATAAGGGATTTAACAATTGTTAAATTTCCGTATTTAGATGCTTTGAGTAAAATTTTATTAAGAAATGTAAACTTATATTCACTGATAAATTCTTTGTTTGCAATCAATATCATAATATGATTGAATTCTTCAAGGATTTCATAGGCATCATGAAAATCATTAGAGTTCTTGTATTTGGAAACATTTGATCTGAAATCTTTAGGAATATTGTAACGATTATAATTATGGCAAACATATCTTGATCTTATTAAAGAATCGCGAAGAGATTTGATAATATTGATGCTGCTATTTTCATCACTTATATCAACAAGTTTATTGATTATTTCTTCACTACAAAACTCCAAATGAACATGTTCGATTAATGGATAGAATGTTTCACTTTTTCTTGAGAGAGAAACAATGAAATTTGCCAGAGAATCTTCGTCTTTTAAAAAGAGCTTTTTGCTCTTTATTATTCTTTCGATATTGTCATATCCAATATATGGAGAAATTGATTTGAGTTTATTTTCATCAATTTCGAAGAAATGCGAAGAAATGAAATCACAAATCTCTAATATCTTTTCATTTGATTCAATGCCTGAATAATATTCAAGAAATTCAAAACAATTATTTTTGTCTAACCTCATTTTATCAATTATATGTGTCTTGTATAAATCAATTAATTCATTTATTTCAAGTTCAACACCAGCATGAAACAAATCCTTCAGAGTTGTTTCATCGCATTCAACTTCTGTTTTTCGGTATTGAAGTATTTCTTTTAGTCAATTATATGTATCTGGTGATTTGATTTCAATATTGATATCGAATTTTGAAATGTTATTATCTAGTAGATAATTTGCATATAATTTTTGTGCAAAAGCTATACCAAAATACTTATTAAGCATGATTTCGACATTGTTTATTGTTAATATAACATTCGAATGTTTGAACATTATTAATTCTATGAAGTATTGGGTTTGTTAGCTGAAATAAAACCATTTTATTTACACAGATAAGAATTGATGGTAAAAAATGAGAAAGTGAAGTGAAAGCTTTTATAAAAGTTTCAAAATTCAATGGCATAAAATCATTTTTACTCGATTAGCATATATGAATATAAACCTCACGTAATGGTACTATTAAACCTAGTTATAAAATCATTCAAATCTTATATAGAAAATAAATTATACTCAAGTTTTTGTATACTCAATTTTTTATACTTTTCAAAAACTAAATTCATAATTATCACTTTTGTTATAGCCGATTTCATTTCGACATTCTAATTTATTACCAATAGATATAGTAATAAGCATAATAATCAATTCTTTTTTCTCTTCACAAACGTTTAAAACATTGAGAGATAAAGTCATTCAAAAATTATAAAGGATTATTATTTTCGTCTGGAAAAGTGACAAAATTATCATTTTCGTCTGACGAAAATGATAATTTTTTATTTTCAGGGTCATGCTATCACACACATATAATATAAGCTCAACTAATATAATCTATAATTACAGTATTACTTCTTGAATCAATTTACAGAGAGAACCTTGAGTTGAGTGACTTCTTTTCTTCCAACTAAAATTTTGACCTAAAACTCTAGATGAAGGAGCAATGGAGTAGATTGGTGCAATACCAAATTGAAGACTTGTTTGATGAAATGCATAGGGAGATTAGAAACATAATGTATTGAAAAATAGTTCTATTCTTTGATTAATATCATGAATTATGTGACATTATTGAATAAAAAACAATACAAAATGAAGTGAAAAATAGCTCTATTCTTTTATTAGTATAATTCAAATAAATATTAAAATTATTGTTTGAATCTTTCCATGTTAATGATACCAACATATTTTCTAAGGATAGCTGACTCTGGGAACTGTCTGAGACCCAAAGCAACCAAATCTTCTGCAATTTTATGTTCGCATTCAGCAGCAATTGCAACAGCTCTTTCTGCGAGCAACTGGTTTGAAGGATGCTTCTGTAGTGCCTTCATAACTGTTGGGAAAACAGATGGATTGGCCTTTACGTCAGCTTTGAGGTCGCATTGTGTGCATGCGAAGAAAAAAGAGACCAAGTTCATAACGCATGATTCATTAGCCATGTGGAGTTCCAACATTGCAGAGGCTGCTTGGATAAGGCGCTCATTACGAACATCTTTTGTAGATAATTCGACGCAACTTGCAATTGCAGCGAAACAGTTGGATACAATTGTTGCATCTTTGTTATTCTTCTTAGAAATCGGACCAAGAATACTGATCGTTTGAGAAGCGGTTTTTGTAAACTTAAGTTTACGGGCGTTTTCTTCTTCTTCACTTTGAACGACCTGGACGCGTTGGTTTGACGTGTCTCTGCCATGAAGGAATGTCTGTGCAAGGACAATTGATGCTGCAGAAATAATTGAAGCATTTGTCTTGTTTTCATTCAATTTTTCAACAACCCACTCCATTGCGCCTTCTTCTTGAGCGAGACGAACGAGATCTGGTACCTGGAACAACTTGGAAAGGAGAATAAGACCTCCAAGTGTCTTAGTCTTGTTGATAATTTCGATGATATTCGATGTTCCGATCTCCTTAAGCTGCTCCTTGGTAGAAGAGAGTCTGTAAATGATAATGAATGCGATATCATACTCCTCTGGCTGCAATTCAACGTTGATCGCGTTGATAATTGTTGGGACAATTTGGCCTTCGATCATTTTCTCGTTGAATTGGGTTGGAATGAGTTCAAGGAAGCGTAAGCAGTCACCTACGATAGCTTCGTTGTCTTTCCAGACATCCATTGCGGTTCTGATTACTGGGAAGCCATTGAAAGCATCTTTAACGCCATTCTCGGCAAGTAATCTGTTGATGGATATGCAAAGAACAACGACGATGTCTATGTTCATGTAAATTTGCATGATACCGAAAATTAATCTTGCACAGCCTTGAGCACTGAACTTGCTGAAGTGGGATTCAGCTGGTGGATGATCTAAAAGTGTCTGGAGCAACTCTGAAAGTGCTTCAACAACCTTTTCTTGATCAGTCATCGTTTGGTAAACAGCTGTGAAGAGTTTGAGGTCTGGATCCTGCTGGTTGATATCTACTATGTTGAGTTTCTTGAATATGCGTGTAAGGGCTTGGTAGCCATCAGCATTTGGATTGATTTTATCACTAATGTTGTAATCAAGGATAGCTTTGTGGAATTCAGCTCTGGCTTCGTAGACTTGGCCACGACGGACATATGAAATTGCAAGAGGAATTGTTAATTTGTCATCTTTAAGCTTATCTGCATTAATTTTGTTTGTATCAATGGGATCACGAAGTAAATTGTATGTTTTCATTGCTTCATTGGCATCACTGAATGCTTCATCTGGTTTGTTACTCATTAAGTTGCATGTTGAGCGGTTAATTAAGCAAATCATAACCATTTGGGCTTCGTCTACGCCTGTGATCTTCAACTCATTGATGACATGAGAGAAATCACTAATTGCTGACGAAAACTTCTGCTGTGCAAGCTTCTTGTTGCCTGAATCTTTGTAGTGGAGAAGAGACTGCAGAGAGACACGAGATTTTAGAAAAAGTGACCAATCTATTCAATTATAATTTTTCTACAGATTATTAAAAAACTTAACATCTAATTATCATATAATTTAAAAATATTCATATAAATTTCGGAAAATTCATATTTTTCAAGTTTGCTTCCTTTGATTCATTGACTTTGATTGTCGTGAAACTCCATAATCTATATTAGTACACACAAAATGCCCAGTTGTCTATATAAGTGGCATCAAAGTTGTTGTAAAAATAATATTTCTCATATTTTATGCACCAAAATGAGGATTAGAGAGAATATTTAGATGTTCATGCAATGTCTTATATGGAAACGTTTGTTATGCCTTATGGTTGCATCTTACTTTTTTTGTTTTTTTCATTCAACTATCATTTTAATATTATATAACTTACTTGTATATTTTTTTGCATAAAATTGCAAGTTGTGTCGATATTTATGGACATCAATATGATAATATTATCAGAGAAATCAATTCTTTCGACAAATTTTATTTTGGTATATATAGTAATCATATAATTAAAAAATCTGTCACCGAAAGTTGAATGAGTCATATACTATAGGTTCCAGCCATTTGCTTCATGCCCAAAAAAAATTTTGATTTAAAAACTTTGATATTTCTAGATAATGAATAGATGAATCAATATAGCATATCAATCCGAATATTGTTTTATATTACTTTTGCTTGAATTTGTCTTTATAATTTTTATAAACAATGCGATCAAAATTTTTTTTTCAAGATCGTGGCCAAAAAAAAATTTACAATTTTTAGATGTTCTTCCTTTGCTTTAGCTTAGGTTCTTTGTTTGGTGGCAGCAAATTGGATATTTCTAAAATTATAACTGGCAACTGGTCAATAACCATTTCTGGTATTCAAGATCCAGAATCTTACTATATCAGACAAAATTCTGACCAAACATTTGCCCTCCAAAACAATCAGAACGAAACAATCACCAAAATCCCATACAACTTTGTAGATATGACTACCCTTAAATTCACATACGAAGCAACAGAATTCAACTTGAATTTCTCTTCACATTTAGAAGCCAAGGGAACATTCGGAGACTACTTCATCCATATTTCAACCGACTCCGCACAGTATTTCCATGTTGTTGTCCAAGATAAGCAATCAAACTCATTATTTAACTTAGATTTCACTAAGATCGATCTTCCTAAGCAGAACCCGGTCATGCAATATCTTCCAATGGTCATTATGGGCGTTTTCTTTATCGGCGCTCAATTCCTTTCCAAGAAATTGGAACCAAAAATGCAACAAGAAGTTATGAAGGCACAACAGGAACAGAAGGCCAAACAACAGAAGAAGGTCCAGCCAAAGGTCACAGAAGTCAAGGAAGGTGAAGAAAAAGAAGAAACAGAAGAAAAGGAAGCTTCTGAGGAGCCAAAGGCTGATGAAGACAAGCAAGAGAAGCCAGATGAATCAGAAGGCAAGGTTGAGTAAGCTATTTTTTTCTTTTTTTCCAAAAATTTACAAAAATAATTTAATATAAATTTTATTTTTAGTTTCGTCAATAAACTTTGATTAAATTAGAAAGTTTTAATAGTACTTACTTTTTCGTTTATTTTGGGTAGATTTGAAATTCAAATATTTTTTCATGAAAAATCTTGTGAATATGATCATATACATATACAAAAAATCTGTCAACATGAAGATGGGCTATATATTAGAAATAAAGCTATTGTAGATTAACATTAATTGCTTGATTATCAAATTAAACCTTAGCCATGGTACAAACTCAATATCTAATCATAGGACGATTTACATTAACCTATCTGAATATTGTTTAGTATTCATTCAACAAAGGAAGTGATTAAAAATATATATTGTCAATGAGCCAAATAAATTCTCATTTAATAATCAATATTTTGATAATCCTAATATGAATAATCTGAATAATCATCAATACCAGTAATTGATCTTAAATATTGTTTCGTTTGACCATAGGCTAAACTTAGAGCAGTTTCTCCTTTAATATTCCTTACATCTTTATCTGCTCCAGCAGAGATAAGACATTCAACAATGCCAACATTATCATTAAAAGCTGCTTGAATGAGTGCAGTAGATCCACCTTTGTCTCTTGCATCTATATTAACTCCATTAGAGATTAGATATTTAACGACTTCAATATGATTTGACATTGATGCCCAAATGAGTGGATTCATTCCATCATTGTCTGCTGCATCTTTATCAGCTCCGATAGAGATTAGATATTTAACAACTTTAAGATGGCCGTTAAAAGATGCAATGAAGAGTGCTCTCTTAATCTCGTTGTCTCTTGCTTCTTTGTCAGCACCAATAGATATGAGATATTGAAGAACCTCAATTTTCTGAAGCATAACAGAATGAAGTCTTGCCAAAACAATCCTTTGCTTCTATATCTGCGCCAACAGAGATAAGATATTCGACTACTTGAAGATGGCCTTTCCAAGATGCAATAATGAGCGGTGTTCTTCCATATAGACCTTGTACATCTTTATCAGCTCCAATAGAGACAAGATAATTAACAACATCAAGATGTCCATTTTCGGATGCTTTAATAAGCGGAGTGTTTCTATCTTGATCTCTTGTTTCTTTGTCAGCACCAACAGAAATAAGATATTTAACAACTTCAAGATGACCTTTTCCAGATGCTTTAATGAGAGGTGAACAAAAAATAGTAGACCTAAGTTCTTTTTTGGTTATACCCTCTGCTACAGATTTAATAAATTCGAGATTTCCTTCTTCGCTATACAAAACACCATTATTTGAAAACATTAAAATTTAATGATTTTTTTTCGCTTTCAGAAAAAGTTTAACGTATGACCAATTTTGAAAGGGTTCTGAAAATTCAGATGACTAATTGATCATAAGTTGCGGTTTGGAATCATAAAATCTCACCTGCCGTGATCAGACACTCAAAAAATCCAATATCTTGATAATCTATCTACTAATATCATGATTATTCATTTCATGCATCGGAAAACTTTTGCAAATTTATCATGTCATTTCATTCGGTTGAATATATTCTTCAATATGACACAATTTTGTTGCCGAAATCTTCATATTGAAGAATACTCACCTCTATTAAAGCAATTCCATATCAATTGCTTTGATATTTAATTTATTTACTTTTATTTTTGTCCAAATCTTCATGTAATTAATGAATTTTATATATCTATGAAAATGAGAATATAATACTAATGCTGAAAATACATGGTATCAAAAAAATTAATTGAAATTTATGATGAAAAAGAAAAACTCACGGATAAATACAATGTAATGCATATTAACTTCAATCCAATTCGGAATGGTCATCAATAATGCTAACAAACAGAGAATTGAAGCTATAATTCAAACAATCAAGTAAGAATTCGAGAATTTATAGGCAGAACTCACATATCTATGTGATACATACATCCAAAATGATTTCGGCACAGAGATCATTGGATGAGTCTCGATATCAAACCAAATTTCTTCCATTCAATTATTCCTTTCTAATCCTCATTAGAATATACGGAAGAAATATCAGTCTACACAAGCGGATTATGATAATAATGATATTATGTATCCCCCTGAATATCTAGTTTGCACTTTTGAATTGATATGTTTAATGTTGCAAGCATGTAAATATGCTTTAGAAACCTAATGCTTCTTTGTAAAGAGTGCAATTGAAGATTCTGCAAGTGCACAAAAATAAGAACCTTTAGCAGACATTACTTTGGATCCTATGAAACAATTTTCTGAATCAAAATGAGGAGTGCTTTCAATTATTAATTTAAGAGCTCCTTGTCCCGTTTTTGAATTCGATTGAATACATGAATCAGTAATAGTCAATGTGTAACCTTCTCTTTCAATATAAAACATCCATGCTGCAGTGTTATTTAAAAATACACAGTGATCAACATTAGCATTGTAACAACACCAAAATAGAGCTTGGCCCATGTCCATTCCGCATATATTTCCAATAACATTGCAATAAGAAACTATTTGGATATATGAATCCGAATAACTGAAAAATCTAAGAGAATCACTTTCAGTTTGGTTGTTTTCTCTGAATGTTGAGAAATTATAGTAACCTGATTTTCCAGCAAGGATACTAAGTATTGACGAATATTGATTACATTTATTGTAAGTGATGTTGTTATTCTTAAAACGTAGATCACCAAAATTGAGTTCAAATATATTTCTTCCTTCTGATTCACTTTTTCCACATTTTAACACCGAAATTTCAAAAGCGTAGTTTTTGTTAGTAGAAAAAAGTTTAGCTATTTGATCAAAAGCCATGCCATTATTTGATGATATTGATTCAAAATAAAAATTTCGTTGTTGAACGATCTGCCCAGACTGAAAGCAGGTGTAATAAACAGATCCACCATCTGAAGTGGAATTGCATCTATTGAATACAGAATCCTCAAGTAATGTACAGATTTCGTTCTTTCTTTGGATGTATATTGCACCTTTATATATACAATTTTCAAAAATGCAAACAAAAACGTAATAATTGTTAGAACTCGAGGTATCATATAATGCTGTTCCATTATGAGTTTGATTAACTTGATGTGTATCACCAAAATACTCAGACCAACTGAATCTTTTTGTGTTTCTAGCCAATTATATGACTGATTAAATTTAATTATTTTATGAAAGAGAAAATCTTCGTAATTATGTATATGATTATTCAGATCTGGGGTGAATATCATTATATTATTCAAAAATATTCATATCTTCCGATTATACCGATCTTATTAAAAATTGACGGAGCAAAATATTCTGAAATAATCACATCATTTTACTGAAATAGATAAATCATCATTCTTCCATTAAAAACATATATTAGATTGACCATTTCTGAATATACTTTATACATTTTCTATTGATAGAAGTCTAGGCTTCCAAAAGTATTAAGCTGCGCAATAGAACCTAGGTGCGTAATAATTCTAGCTAAAATTTCAGTGATTTTATATTGCTTGATCATATAAGGATTAATATTATCATGCTCTTTTTCTAACGTATGCTTCTTTTTCTTGGGTCTTTATGGTAAATACAGTTAAGAAATTCTGACAACATTTGTATGAAACTCATTAAGGCGCCATATCAGAAGGTGCTATATTTTAAAATAAGTAGTTTAGAAAAAAGATCAAAACACAAAATTTTAATTATCATATATCAATCCCTTAAGATAAAGCATATGAATGAAACTCATTAAATTAAGGTGCTATATTTTAAAATAAGTAGTTTAGAAAAAAATCAAAACACAAAATTTTATTTATAACAAAAAAGTTAAAATAAATTAATATCACCAATTGATCTGGACAACGTCTGTTTGTTGGAATGCTTTCCCGCAGTACTTGCAAACGTGAGGTAGTGCAGCGACCATTTCTCTGTAGCATCCCTCGCAGAAAGTGTGTCCGCACGAACAGATGCAGAACATTCTCAATGTCTCGCACGATCTGCAGAATGGAGCTTCTTTGTTCTTCTTTTTCGTCAATGTCTGCGAGGATTCTTTCAAAACGTTTGCAAAGTTGTTGATTTGATTGAGTTCGATCTGCAGACTATTTAACAAGTCTTGTTTTTCGCGAACACAATGACTTAAGTAGTTAATGCAGTTATCATGCCATCCTTGAACGCCTGGCTGTATTGTTAGTGACTCTATGAACTCATCCGAGAGAAAGGAATTGTTGATTTTGAAGCATCGCTCGATTGGAGGTGGAATCGAAAGAAATTCAAGTGTATTTAGGATATTTATGGAATGTTTGCTGAGTTTATCGGGTAAATTATCTAATGGGATCTCTAAAATGGAAGATCGTGTCTCATGAGTATGAATAACTCGTTCATTCAGTTGTAATTTTCGATCTTTTGAAATAATAAGATTTTGAAGTTCTTTATTTTCTTTTTCGATTGATTCTTTTGCATTTTTCATGTTAGTGAGTAGTTCTTGTACATCTTCTGGATCTGTTTCAATAAATTTTTCTTCGAATTCGGAAAAATTCTGAATTGCAGTAATTTCGAGGGTAGATTGAACTTCATTTCTCAATTGTGTGAGGAAACTGTTCTCTCTCTTCTGTTCGGTAATGTCTAAATATGACTTAAACGTTTGAGATAAACTTTCAATTATCGGAGGAGCTTCGATTTTGATAGTTTGGTTGAGTAACTCGATAGACTTGTTGTAGTTGGTCAGTTGTTCTATGATTTCGCTTGCTTGTTTGTTGGACATTTCATGAATTGCTTGTATTTTCGAAATTAATGTCTTTTGAGTCTCTTTTAGTTGAACAAAACTAGGATGATTGGCTAAAAGAGATGGGGATGGACAGAATAAAGGTAGTTGATTTTGATCGTATTTTGAAATTAAGGCTGCTTCTTCACATGTTGTAGTTTTTTCAATTCCAATTAACTCACCGAGAAGCATAGTATAAGAAAATTTAAATGTAGGGAATGTTGGAGGGATATCAGCTAATGTTGCGCATTCATTTTCAGGTAAATCGATTTTTTCGGCTAATAATTGAACTATTTTTGGAAATTGCTTTCTGGTATTCACACAGGATATAAAATTTGGGGCAGTCATCGTTGGATCTATTGCTGGTTGAAAATCATAGTAAATTTTGCAAACTTCCTGGAAAAATTCAAGGAGAGAATGAATATTTTTAATCTCTTCATTCAGTATTTCGTCTTCAAATTTGGTGTTTACCTTCGAAGATATAAATTCGGAAATTGAATTTGAGCAAGACTTAAATTTTTCTACGATATCGTAATCATTACCACCTTTATTTTCTGTTTCTGGCAAGTATTCTTTCTGAATTAGAGATAAATTATCAAACCAGGCCAAAAATAGGAGTTGAAGCTTATAATAGAGATCATTTGACTCATTGACCTTATTTTTAAACATTTCTAGCCAATATAAGTAGTGGAGACTCTCCTCTTTTAATTTAGAGAGAGCTCCACTGTTACTCATAATTTTTTTTTTGGAAAAAAAATTTATTGTTTATGATTTTAAAATAATATTATGTGTGTAATATATACCCTATCAAAAGATCTTGCAAATTTTCTTTTGATCATGCATATTTTTCAAATTATTGGAATATTGGAATCATTTTGATTCAAATCTTACATATCAAGCGTTAAATTTGTAAATAATCAACGATATAATGACTGTATAATTGAATATAGCTCAATCTTAAATGAATGAATTCAAATTCAACGGATATTACTGATAATACTGTTGTAAACAGAAATTCATCAAAAGTGACACCTCAGAAAAGCTAAAATATTGAATTTTTGGAACTTTTGATAGAGCACGTTTTAAAATATTAATTAAAGTAAATGTATATTTTGTAAAGATTCTTTTTAATAAAAAAATAAAATTTTGAAGAAGAACACAAAATCTTCTGAAAAATAATATCACATAAACTCATATTATTTTCTAATATATAACTATTTTATATAAAAATCAAATTCAATGATCTTAAAAGCGAAGGATAAACCTCAAAATTTACGAATATAATGAGTGGTAATATAATGCTTATCTATCATAAAACCATATGAAATATCAATTTTTGCTTTACGCCTAATTTTTGACGACAATTAGCAAAAAATGTTAAATGTTAACACTCAGTCCATTTGAATATGAAAAATAAAATTGACTTTGATTAAATGTTTTTATTTATCATGCAATTCTTCTTGCGACCAAAGATTTGAATAAAAGTTCAAAAAATAAGATAGCTTAAAAAATAATATACGGTAGTGTTTACTAATAGATGAATAGTATATAAATTCTATTAAAATGGATTTGATCCAAAAAAATATATAAAATTTGATCATAAATAAAATCGTTTTAAATTACTTCTTCATTTAAATTATAATATAGATCCAAGGTGATGTGATTTTTGCATCCATGGGATGGACGATACACCCAAAGTGTCACCTTTTTTGGATAACATGAATTTTAAATATCATGAGAGTTCTGCAAACCATATGCACAATATCTATTCAGCCTGACTTCTTGTATATATGAGTTAGACTTCTTAAATATTGTGCTTGGGGCGATATAAGTATTTCCGAGATTACCATCGTGCTCTATAGTATGCTACTTCTCCCTGGTTCTAGCTCAGTTCCAAGGATATTGGCGTTCAAGGATTTGGCAAGGTCCTTCCGAAGTCTCTCATTCGATGAGAGATTTCGGAAGAATCTTGCCTTAAAGTACTCCAACTCTTGTTCTTTTGTTCCTAAATAGTGAGAAAAGTTATTTGACTACTTAAGGTAGAGATTATCCGAGGTCCCTCATTTGATGAGAGGCCTCGGATAATCTCTGCTTTAAAATTGTACACTTGTAGTCCATGAGAGTGTAAGTATACATTGATAGGACAGCTTTCTTCTGAAGTCTTAGATTTGATGAGAACCTCAGAAGAAAACTGTCATATTTTATAGTAAAAGGAGTTTCAGGAGCTCCAAAGCTCCCTTTCGTAAGGATTAGGAGCTTTGGAGCTCCTGGTTCGTAGATGTGTTTCGCATCTTTCATCAGCAAAGGACATTTACCATCTGGGACTCTGTTGATGGAGACTCAGGAGCTCCAAAGCTCCCTTTAGTAAGGATTAGAAGCTTTGAAGCTCCTGGTTCGTAGACGTGTTTCGCATCTTTCATCAGAAGAGGCCCAAATGGTAAATAGCCTCTGCTGATGAGCTTCAGGAGCTCCAAGGCTCCCTCTCGTAACGATTAGGAGCTTTGTAGCTCCTGAAGGTAAGGTAGGATTGCTCTGATCTCTAATCAGTAGATGCCATGCCTCATTATGAACTCTACTGACAAGAGATCAAGAGCTCCAAGGACTCCTTTTTTAGTTAGTGGCGTTCTCACCATTTAGTAGGATTGCTGATCCTACTAATGAAGTGATCACTTAGTATACGTTTTGAATAAATTGAATTTTTTTTAGAATTTAGTATTTTTTATAGACATCACATGTATATTATAAATACATAAATATATTCTTTAATTCAAAAAATTCAATTCGGTTTTGGGATGGGCATCCCAGCCCCAAGTATTCAATTTTATTCAATTTTTAAAGAATTTTGGGTTGGGATGCCCAGACCAAAACAAGCTTTATATTTTGATGTGTAGATACGTATGTGTGCATCATTGTTGTGTTATATATTATGTTTTTAATGAAAAAAAATCTGATTCAAAAAAAATTATCACTAATTAGTTGATAATATAAAGAAAAAATAGATAAATTGTATGTTTTGAGAGTATTTATTAGGGCTGTACAAGATTTAAAAAAACATTGCCGGGTTACCGTAGAGGCCTAAAAAAATCGCGCCTCGGCGGCAAGCCGCCTCGGCATTAAGAATGCGCATCTAAATTTTTATATGTCCTTCTTTCTTTTATTTTTCCCTGCCCTTTCTTTTCTTTTTCTTTTTTTTCCCTCCTCTTGCTCTCATTTACCTTTTTTTCCTTTTCTCATCATTTTTCAAAATTTTAAATTTTTATCAAAAATCTTGCCTATAAAAGCAGACTATGGAACCTTTTAATGCCTCTTAATCAATATTATACAGCATAAAGCATATTAAATGAAAGTAATTACGTATAAATTTATTTTATTATCTTTATTAATTCTTTAGCATGTATTGTTTAATATTAACTTTTCTGTACATTAAATATGATATCTCCAAAGTATGAATGCCTTGTAACGAAACGAAAACTTAATTTTATGTTGAATATTTGTCACAAACATTAGATTATTAAAATATATGTTGGATATCCCTTAGTATGAGACTTCATGACTCTTGTAGTCTAACGTGAGCTTTGGATTGCAAGCTCTGTGGTTAACGAACATAAATTAATTGTAAAGTTTTCAAAATTTTTCATCGTTTCTATCAGCATCTATTTTTCCTTTAAAATAATATATTTGTATGAATACAATATTTAGTAATTTTTTTATTTCCCATAATTTCATTCAAAATTTCAGAAAAAATTAATTTCTATTCAATATTATTTCAGCTTCAAAACACTTCATTCTTATAGATGTTGATTCACTAAAGTGTGATACTCAATGTCTTATTTCAATGAAAATTGTTCTGCAAATTTATTTCACTTTTGACCTCACTTTTTCCGTAATTCAATTTTTTACTTTTAATATTTTAGATCTTCATAATATCATTTGAAAAATTAACCATATAAAAAATCAAGTTAACAATTCACTTTTTCCGTAATTCAAAAATCAAAAATATAAATAATATATTTTTTATCAAATATTATTATTATATTCTATGAAAAATGAGGTCCGGAAATTTTGCGGATTCCCGTAACTCAATTTTACGGAAAAAGTGCAGTAAACTATTCAAAATACGGAAAAATTGGTGTAAACTAATGATTTTACGGTAAAATCACGGAAAGTCCCGGAAGAATATATGTGCCTATATGAAATTATACAAAAATGAATCAAACGCATTTTAAAAGATTGTTCTTGTATTATAAATGCTATTCGCAGATTTATTAGTTGAAGAAAATTACCAAATTTTTGCCGATTTACAAAAAATGATTTACAAAGCATATTTTTATAAGGCTTTAAAAATCTTTAAAATGTGACCGGTGACGGAAATCCATGGTAACCAACCGCGGTTCCCGTTTGGAATGCCATAGTATTTATCCACATTCACTCATATGAATTTCATTAAATAGTGTCTTTTTACTCCCAAATTTATTTTGAATTATTGAAATCAAAGAAAAAAAATCAGAAAAATTTCTCGAAATTTTTATTTTCAAAAAAAATTTGGATTTTATATTGAAAACTGACACTGGGAGGACGATAGGGCTGGGATTGGAGATACCCCGCTCACTTGGGAAAAATACGGATCTATAAATTATAACAATTATTTTTGGTTTTATATTTTTTTGGATCAAATCCATTTTAATAGAATTTATATACTATTCATCTATTAGTAAACACTACCGTATATTATTTTTTAAGCTATCTTATTTTTTGAACTTTTATTCAAATCTTTGGTCGCAAGAAGAATTGCATGATAAATAAAAGCATTTAATCAAAGTCAATTTTATTTTTCATATTCAAATGGACTGAGTGTTAACATTTAACATTTTTTGCTAATTGTCGTCAAAAATTAGGCGTAAAGCAAAAATTGATATTTCATATGGTTTTATGATAGATAAGCATTATATTACCACTCATTATATTCGTAAATTTTGAGGTTTATCCTTCGCTTTTAAGATCATTGAATTTGATTTTTATATAAAATAGTTATATATTAGAAAATAATATGAGTTTATGTGATATTATTTTTCAGAAGATTTTGTGTTCTTCTTCAAAATTTTATTTTTTTATTAAAAAGAATCTTTACAAAATATACATTTACTTTAATTAATATTTAAAAACGTGCTCTATCAAAAGTTCCAAAAATTCAATATTTTAGCTTTTCTGAGGTGTCACTTTTGATGAATTTCTGTTTACAACATGACTTCATTGATTCCATTCAGGATTTAATTAATGTTAATTTTTTTCATTTCATTATGTATGGGTTATGTGACTTTTTTTGTAAACGTAAGAATTCTTACAATATTGAACGATTTTGTATCATTTTTTTTTGACATATGAAGTAAAAAATGTATGATTCTTACGTTTTTTATTCTTACGTTTTTGAATAAATCATTAAAAAAAAATGTATGATTCTTACGGTTTTTATTCTTACGGTTTTGAATTCATACATAAAAGAAGCTATATATAGATGATGTCAGGTTATTCAATAATTCATTATTTTTGAATAACTGATTGGAATCAATGGAGTCATGAATGAGTAAAATAAACTTTAAAAATAAATTGAAACTAATGATTATTTGAATTTATGAAATCAATTATTTGATTCATTCTTTCTTCAATCTCTTCTATTCTTTTTGTTAAATCATCAATTTTCATTAATGAGGTGATTCTTGATTGAGGAATAGATTTCA